TATTATTATTATACTTCTTTGATACTAATTATAATATTGATTTTTATCAAATTCAGAATAAGAAGCACTCTTTAATTTGAAATCAATTAAATGTTATTCGAAATGGTAATTGACTGGTCGCGATACCTTGAACTGCATCTTGAATGAAAACTGTAACCCTGCAAATTTTATCGAAGTAGCTATTTCTCAATGTGTCATAAATACACTGTTATAAGAAAGTCACCACTCAGATAATAAGCAGAAACATTCGAATTAAATCCTCTGTGGAGAGGCCATGTCCAGCGAATACTACTTGCGCATCAATATGGACAATGATAACTGTCTTGCATTGCAAATGCATTGTAACTTTAACATCGTTCCGAAGCATAGTGTAATGACTGGAAACGCGAGCATTGTTAATATTAAGAAGTGTTGCGGCAAGCAAGTCTTGCTCTCGGGATAATTCGATCATACTATGGACAACGTTCTACTAGCCAATCGAATTTGGAAATTATAAATCCAAATTTGGCAATGCATAGCAAAAATGGGATGGCTCGATACCATATTTGGTAAACCCATATCGCTACTAAAAGAAGAAAAGAATTGTAGCAGCGATTATTGAAGACTTTTATTCATTGAATTTATTTATCTCATTTTCAATCTTTATAAGAATTCCTTCGGTCGTTCTCCAACCCCACCAGCTTCATCAAACACGAGACCTGCGATTTTGAATGCAAGCTCGTCACATTCCTGGCGAGTGGCAGCTTCTGCGTAGACACGAACCACATCCTCTGTTCCAGACGGTCTAATAGTATTACGGCACAGGTAAGATGTAGTCAAGTCCTTATTGCACGCAACTCAAAAAACCGATACGTACCGGACAAAGGATCTGCCTTCCGTATATGGCGCAACAATCGTGTTGATCTTATCTTGAAGACCTTTAGGCTCAACCAACTTTCGTTCGGCATCCGTCGTCCTGAATATGTGACGATCGGCAACCTAACAATGAATGAACTATCGTTAGAACGACTCATAATTTCGTGTCTACATGCTTTTAATAGTTACATACCACTACTTTGACTAACCGATTGGGCAAATCGGTGTAAGCTTGATCCCATTGCTTTAGAGTTATTTGCTTATTCGTAAGAATACTTTCAACGAATAGCATATCAGAGATTGCATCTCCGACGGTTTGATTTATGAGATTAGTGAGAGCGCTCAATCGGTTAATGGCCTCGACTTGCTCGGGAGTCCCGCTGACCCGAATCCCATAATATTACGAATAAAACGTCATTAATCACTTGGAATGTAATTTGATACGAAAATAATGGAATGGCTATGCTCACCCCTTGGCAGATCGAATTGAATTTATCGCATGAGAACTAAAGAGAACGGTCCCATGACCATTTGCCTCAAAGTAAACTCCAACGTCATATTTCTCTGCCTCATGATGGAGATGCTTTACTCCAGTGGGTACGCAGGAAACGGGCACTTTCTACAATTTAAATAATTATAATAATCGTCTCATACATGCGGTTTAGGATTATTTTGAGGGTACGCACCAAAACATTTGTCAGATACGCTGTCGAACTTCCATTAGCGTATGCAGTTTGAACTACGCCGATCTTGATGTCTCCAAGACCTGCCGTCCTCACAAGATCAATTATGAAGCTTGCAGCGAGACCAGCAATTTTATCACCATCGAGCAATCTAAATTTTCCATCTTTAATGGAAACAGGATGCGGTGAGAAATTAGCAATATAATTGCGCCTAAAAAGGTATCGTACTCGCTTACCTTCATCTGCATAATAATAAACAATTCTATCGGCGTCACCGTCAAACGAACATGCTCGCACGCCACTGACGAGATTCATTCCAGGAGGGGCTCTCTGCTGCGTCTTCACAAAATCAGCTCCGCACTAGAAACTGGGAGTATTAAATAATAGGTGCGTATGAAGAAAAGTCGCAGTGCCTATTTATATGACTTACTTGGAAATTAAGTTTACCCTTAGTATAAATATCATCATTCACCACGTTAAAGTCGATGAACTCGCCAACGACTTCAGCTAACTGGCGTATTTTCGGTGCACCGACCCCGTTGGCTGCATCGACTGTCAATGCCGATGGATGAGGTTTCCGCTCCTATTATATAACAACGGTACTATGTCTGGATGGCTGCAATCTGTTTGCGTGTATATTTAATCTCAATATTATAACTGTAATCATACCACCAGTTCCCTAAATGCATCACCCAATTTTTTAAAGTAGCCCTCTTCTGTGGGCTCACCATACGCATCTTCTGTGCCCGTAGTATTCAGGCAACGTGTGACGTAATGAAGTTCTGGTGTCGTTTTAACACCAAAATCTAAAGTCTTGGCTCCAAGGACTTTTAACGCATCTTCGACAGCGGCAACTAATGCTGGACCGCTGGGTCTATATATCAACTAATCAGATTGAGTACATGCCTCAATGCTCGATATTATAAAACAACACTTTCGGTGAACAAATAACATCACAAAAATGCATATAGGAACCTTGTATCTCTAGCGTAGACAATAGAGGAATCATTCGATCCATCAAGACCTGTGTTAACAATAATATCCTGTATAACGTTGACCAAGTCATCGTCTGATTCAGCGTTTGCGAGCTTAGTTGCATGTTCTTCCCAGGATTGTTCAAGCATCTCGCCGTATGGATCAACGAGTTTGACTCCGTTGTCCTGCATTATTCATATATCAGTAGGAATAGACATAACTATACATATTCACAACACATGCAAACGATACGATATATTGTAATTATTCTAATGTTCGCACCTCTTCAGGATTATGTGATGCGGTGATCATGACGCCAATTGTCTTAGAATCTAGTTTCTTTGATCTCAGAGAGGCCAAAATTCCAACGCGAAACGTCACTGAATCTAACAATTCAGCTCTAATCGAATCGATAATAATGAAAACCCAAATATATAATGCATTGAAAATTCGCAATGGGCTGTACATACTTCATACGAAACCCAGCAGTTCCATAAGTAAATTTCACTCCAGGTGGTTTAGGATGCTTAGCCGAAGCTAATTTGACTTTATTATAATCAATTGGAGCCATGATTATTAGCGAAGGATAAAGTTTGAAAGATGTAAAAAGAAATTTATGCATATATGGTGCCACAAGAATTCAAACATTCCCACCCCATACGACATTACGATCAAGAGGTAATTTACTAATGCTGTCCGTTCGCCATATCCATTACGGAGAGTTTACTGTTTAACTATGTCGAGGAAAAAAATTCAATATGTATTATTTTCTTTGAATTTTTTGGCTATAGGTCATCTTCATTGTATCCACGTGCTAAGCATATATGAATGAATCGGTTCCATGAAAAAGCTTCGGTATAATAATAAGGCCATCTTGGTTAAAACGGACCTTCGTTAAAGCGGACTTTACTGTGTATTGGCGATTAGCTGTCCAGAATTTCGTCCTAATCCGGTGATAAGTGTTCAATATTTCTACGCTGATCTACGCTGCGCAAATTCTCGACGATTGTACCGAATCGGAAATCATGGAGGAATACGTCATATTTTATTAATGGTAGAAAGACAACAGTAAAAAAAAGTTGTCCGCCGTTTTTCTAATAATTACAACTACAACTACAACGACAATAATAATAGCAACAAGTCGCTCGACTATTAATTACAGTTCAAATCTCCAATCCGATCATTTTCTTACCTCCCGTACATTAGCATTATACATTCTTAAAAATAATGTATGCATATATGTTAGTCATAGTGTATCAATTCCATAATTCTCACGTATCAAAGCTAATCATTTGTTGCAATCCGAACTTTTCGTTCACTACTATTTTCTTTTAACATTGGGATAATACTGCTTATTGATCGAGAGTATTTGATCTTTTTTTTCCTGGCGGCCCCTCTGACAAATATGGAGTATAATCATCAGAGAATCAATTTCACGATAAGTTTATTGGATTCGGTTCACTATAGACAGCGTCAAGTATTTTCTGCACCAGAAGGTCAGGCCGCAGTTTTGTTATCATAAGTAGATCAATGGCTTTATTGTCAAGCTACGTGCTAAGCGATAGATTCCTAACTTTTAGAAATAAATGTATTTTCATCGCTATTACTATAGTATCGAGAGTTCCATTCCATATATTCCAACCATATCACTACGTCTTTACCAAGCATCATTACATCATCAATGTAATTCTCATGTACAAGTATTGTATGATAAGAACAGCTGGCATTTACGTAACTGTGTGATAAATAGATAAACTCAGTAAATATCGGACACAATTTGTAACAAAATATTTGGGGCCAAGCCCCGGCATCTGGGCCAGAACATAAGCAGCTCTACAGACGATTAAAATATAACGCCGCCTCCATTAAACAATTTATATGCATACAACAACTACTTTATGAATTGATCCTCCCTACAAAAGATACAACTAATTATATATAATTTTGTTTTTTTGGCTAAAGACACGTGATAATCAAATCTTGATAACCGATTAATATTAAAGGTTCATTGTTATAATTGGCATCGTTAAGCTGTAGTTCGACCTTAAACTAATAAATTGGGTCAAAGTAAACCCGGATTATCAATGCTTAATTATAAACTGCCTTGACTTAGAATCAATTTACAATCAATCGCACACTAACTAGTAGAAACAATTAATCGATAGATATTCACGAAACGTAGCGATCAGATATCAGCCCAATCTAGTTACCATAATAATTCAGGATAAACATCAGTGAACGCATCATTATTCGTGATACTAAACTGTTGAGGAACGCCAATAGCAATAATTACAATAGTAAATAAGTGATCAAGCGTCGAAGCCGCAGCTATGACAAAGTTTTTTTGCCGATTAAATAAGTTTTCTCAAATTAAGACTCTGCGAGCCTTTCATAAAATCTCCAGCTTATTGGTAAATAAACAAATTCGCACCACAACAAATCTTGTAAGCTATATCACAACATACATTTCATTAGTTATTCTCGTGATTAAAACTCAATCTGCGATAGTTCTCTCCTCGGAAACTTCACACGGCGTAATAAATCCATTTCTCCTTCAAAAGGTCTTTCCTTCCGTTTTGCTATAATGTCACATGCAGTTTGTGGTCCTACTCCACGAATAAGACACAGTTCCCATTTATAAGCCGAGTTAATGTTAACCTTTTCATTTGCTAATAGAGTATACATGTTAGATGGGAAATTTAGAATGGTTGAATATGATATAACTGACAATACACAATGATATATCTACCAGCAGCAAATTGTGCACGATTTGCATACACTGGTCCGTAGAATTTAGCAAAATTGTCTTCGCAAACAAGAGCAACATTTGATGGTAAATCGTCGGGCAAAACACGTCGTAACGCCTCTGATAATGGTGTATTGCACAAAAGAATCAAGCGATATTGTTGTAACGAAAGATGAAGATGGTTTTGGAGTTTTTCCATTACTTTTTTTGCTTCATTAGATACTGTTTCCCGATTAATTACTTGTGGTTTCATTGTTTCGTATTGACACCATTTCATTTGAAGGCAGACCGTAACAAGCTTTGTTTGGTTAAAAACTTTACAGTGAGTGAATCCATCCATCACCCCTCCTTGTCCATTTTTGACAATCATATTGTTTGTGAATTCTCTGTAAATATGCTCACTATTCACATCATGATATTTCTGATGTTCAGGAAATCGCCCTTTGATGTATATGAATGCCCTTTATATTATCTAAATCTGATGGTATCTCCATTGTATTCTCTTTAATATCAGCTCCGCAATAAGCTCCACAGAGAAATTCATCCATACCAATTTGTTGATGACCAATGACATGATATAGATGGAGTCTAAATGCCCAAAAGCGGAGGTGTAAATCCTCCCAGTCTTGCCATACGAAAATTTTTTCTTGAACTATGAGCGTTTCCAGCTCCCAGTTCACGTGCACTCATTACTATGCACCACACCCAAATATATGGTATTCTTATGCTTGCTTGTCCCCACGTTGAAATACCAACATTCCCATGCTACTTAAGTCTGTGTAAGTCAATTGTGACCTTTCTGAAATTCTTCTTAATGGAAAAACATCTAAGCCAAGTATTGCATATGCAACTGGTTGAGCCATAACATATGCCACATTTCTGAAGTCATATCTGTCCATTGTCGTGCCGACTACTGCGGGAGAGCAGAAAGTAATCGTCACTTAGTCTCGACGGAGCGTGGCTGCCTCCTATTCAAGTTAAATGTCTAGGGTACAGTTAGTGACCTTGTCAATGTCAAG